ACGTTTCGTAATGAGAAATGCGAAACAGTTGTCAAAACTTCCTTACACGGGAGTAAAACCGTAAATTTTGACAGTGTCGAAGAATAAAAATTATTAATTTTTCTAAAATCGTAATTCTCGAAATATTATGCAAAATTAAAATTACCCTCATTCATAGACCATTTCATTTTCTTTACAGACAATTAAATCCGTAAAAGTACTTCTTTATGAATTATTTCGTTTATTTTACAGACTATTCCAGAAACTAAAACTGAAATTTATTGATAATTATCTAAAGAAATGTCTGTAGTTGTTACAAAATTATATAATGAGCATTTATGAGTTTTCAGCACTTTAACATTCTGAAAGTTTAATTTTTCAGCTGTATATGGTTGTAATTGAATCGAGACTTTAATGCGTTTTTTAATAAATTATTATTATTATTTAAATTATTTTCAAATATATTTCACATGTGCACACCTTATACAATTTTGTTTACTTTACTGACCTATGAATCCCAAAAAGTAGTTTTTTACGAACTATTTCAGGAACTGTTTATTACAATAACTATAATAACACTGCAATAAAAAATATTAATATTAAATTATTAATTAGTCTAAAATCGTAATTCTTGAAATATTATGCAAAATTAAAATTACACACATTCATAGACAATTTCATTTTCTTTACAGACAATTAAATCCAAAAAGGTATTTCTTTATGAATTATTTCGATTATTTTACAGACTATTCGAGAAACTGAAACTGAAATTTATTGACAATTATCTAAAAAACATGTCTGTAGTTTTGTTATAAAATTTAACATTAAAATATAAAAGAACAACTAGTACTGTGGTGTACACTAAGTTTTTTCTAAAGTCGTAATTTGTAAGTCTCTCCTATCACGAAATAAAGTATTTGCCTATTTAAAGTTCCTAATGTGGCCATAATGAGCATTTCCCCTCTGAAAGTTTAATTTTTTAGCTGTATACAGCGTGCGCCAGAACTCACGCCCTAGAGAAAATTTTCAAGTAAGGTATGATACCAGAAACATGAAAAAAATGTTTAAAAAATTCTACCTGTCAAAAAATTTTGACATTTGTTTTTTGACATTTGAATTTTTTTTATATCTATTTAATGATACTGATAATCTTGTATATGTTTTTTTACAATTATTTAGTAAAAAGACAAAAATTTTGCCAATAAAAGCCACAAATAACATTGAACAGAGTTACAATTTAGGTTACAGCTTCCTTGTTTCCTCTTTTAATAGCCTATAGCAAAAAAACTTGGAAATTTAGTTTTCCAACAGAAATAAATAGAGTCAAAGTGCAAACTTTAAACCCTCATAACTTTTTTCTATTTTGTTTACTTTACTGACATATGAATCCCAAAAAGTAGTTCTTTACATACTATTTCAAAAACTGTTTTATTATAATAACTATAATAATATTGCCACAAAAATATTCACTTATAAAAAAATTATTAATTATTCTAAATCGTAATTCTTGAAATATTATGCAAAATTAAAATTACACACACGCTCACTTTATAGATTATTTCATTTACTTTAGAGACAAATAAATCCGAAAAGTATTTCTTTACGGATTATTACACTCTTCGAGAAACTGAAACTGAAATTTATTGATACTTACCTAAAAAATGTCTGTGGTTTTGTTATAAAATTTAACATTAAAATAAAGTATTTGCCAGTTTAAAGTTTCCAAATAAATAGTCAGAATAAAAGGAGTTTTCAGCACTTTAACGTTTCCCCTTGAAAGTTTATAATTTTTCAGTTGTAAGTATATGCTTTTCAATTATTATTGATTAATTTTAATAAATTTTTATTATTATTTAAATTATTTTAATTATTATGCAACTGAAATTTTACATATGCACACTTTATAGACTTTCCTGACATATGAATCCCAAAAAATAATTCTTTCCGGACTATTTCAGAAACTCTTTTATTATCAGTATTATCACTATAATAAATAAACTGCAATAAAAAATTCACTAAGAAAATTATTGACAATTATTTAAAAAAATGTCTAATTTTGTCATAAAGATTGACATAAAAAAGTAAAAAAACAACTTTAGTGCTGAGGTGTACATTACGTTTTTTTCTAAAATCGTAGTTCTTGAAACGAATCCAAAAAAAGTATTTCTGTATGAACTATTTCGTTCATTTTACAGACTATTCCAAAAACTTGAACTGTTTATTGACAATTATCTAAAAAATATAGTTTTGTTATAAAATTTAACGTAAAAATGTAAAAAAACAATTTGAGCTGTAGTGTACATTATGTTTTTTCTGAAATCGTAATTCGCAAATTTCCCATCCCAAACTAGTAAAGGTGTTCATGAGTTTTCAGCACTTCTGAAAGTTCAACTTTTCAGCTGTATATGTTTGCAATTATTATTGAGTGGAATTGAGACTTTAATATTCAAACTTGTCGCATAAAGTGTTTCAACGATGCGAGAAGTGCAAGATAAAGACTTGAAGATATTGGAACGCGATTTTTATGAGGTTCGGTAACGTTCTTTTAAACTAGGGACATGCTACTTAATGGTTTTAGTTCAAATCATGGCAAGAATAATAGATGGAAAGCTTTTAATTTAATATGAAGGGTCATTCCTGAAATCGCCAATAAAAATTTTACAGGACGCATAAAAACGCTGTTTTATTTCTAATCCCAAAATAAAACTTGCACTTCCGTGGCAAGAATTTTAATTAATTGGTGGCGAATTTGTCTTTTGTTCAGACTTTAATAACGTAAAAAGCTGTCGGAAACTATTCTGCACTAAGATATTGCCATGTTAACAATTCTGGCGTCTGATATTCGTCTCTGAAGACAGTGAGTGAAGTCAGATGGGTACTAAACTAACGCTCATTGACAATAATGTCCGTTACAATTACGCTGACTTGCCCCATCTAGCATTAACTCTAATCCCGTGTAATTCATGCCCGACACTGTTAATTACAGTACAGATCAGTACTTGTCTATTAAGAATCACCGATTTCGCCACAATTTTTGCCCCAACAGGTTGTGTTTTTAATTAAAATTGGGCAACGGTCATTTTAAAAGAATGATGAGTGTCAAGCTTAACGCTGAAGCCGAACAAAATGAATATAAGGTATGTGCATGCTGAAAGAAATTTAATTAACAAAAGCTTTGAATGCAAAGGATTTATGGTTATTAAATCAGTGTTTGAAAAATCATGTCTGTAGCAGCTGAATCAACAAATGGAATTGAGTCGGAAGGACGACCTGGATGATTTCTCTGATTAACTTTTGTTACGAAATGGAAGACTGGTGTTGGGAATAAAAGTAGTAATGAGTTTGAAGAGATAACAAATCACAATTAATGTAAATATGTTTCATTGTAGTGTGGCTTGCAATAATGTGACGCCAACAATTAAATAAACCGTGTCTATAGAGAGCACTAAATCCGGGCTTAGATAGAGAAATTAACTAATTACACGTTTAGAACACAGTTGACCTCAAATAATAAATAATTAAACCGTGAATGGCATAAATTAAGCGATTTTTTATTTCTGAATTTGCCACAACTCATTTGTAAAAAATGGTCGTGAAATATTTTCCCCAAATATAAAATTATTATTTTTCAAATGTCACTAACTGCTCCAAATATAAAAGTTCAAATTAACAAGAAATCGTCTTTCTCTTGCTGTTCTTCAACAAAGTCTTGATTTATAAAATTGGTAATTTTTTCTATATGAAAATGAAAACGCGTATTTGTTGTTAAAGAATCACAGACACAAAATATATTATTTAATGTTGTCAAAGACCAAGTTTTCAGT